GATCAGTCAATGCTAAGAGCACCAGTGAGATCAGTCTTCCTCATTCTTAAATTCGACCTTCGTGTTTGACAGCTGCATGTCCAGCTCCACCCAACACAAGCAACCGACGCTGCACTTGATCTGCCGGCAACACAGGAAATGTAGACCAATTTCAGAGCTTGCTGCTCTCAAACAACAACAACTACAACAGCAACAACAAATCCGTTGTGAATTTAGCCTTTCAGTCCCTTTGTTAGAGAACAACAAGTTGTCCAAAAAAAGTTGCTCAACACTGGAAGTTGGACATGTGCATCTGAAAGGTAAAGTTTGCGTTTAATGTTCTGAAATTTCACCGGAAAGCCGAACATCTCCAACTTTTTTTTTTTTTTTTTTTGAGCAGCATGTGTAGCGTTCCATCCATAAAGTACAAAGTCATGAATCTTTTCATCTCAATATACAGTACCCTTAATGTCCATTTTCTGCGCAGAAAATAGCAAGCAAAAAAAAAAAAAGCCAGAGAAAACGCCAGCTGATGACCGAGTTTGCGCACGTATTCAACTGCCGACCCCGTCAGGCCAAGCAGGGTGAGGGGTGAGCCCGTTGAGGTCGACAGAGGAGGGGTGAGCTCACTTCCTCCTTTCCTAGAAATAATAGCGGTCATCCTCGGTCCAGCCTGTGATAGTTTCCACGAGGAATCGCGCGGCACGCTTCAACAGTCTGCACCAAAGTCCCGATCACTCAACTATGACTTCGTGTGTGTACAACCCCAAGGTGTTAACATGCGCGAGTAGCGTCTTGCGCTAGCAAGAGGACTCTACGCCAGCCATGTGTCAAGAGCGTCACTGCGGGGGCCGCCTGAAGTTTTCGCAGTGACGAGGAACGCAGCGTCACGGCAGCAGAAGACGACGGAAGGAAGCAACGAGAAGAAAGGAAATGAGGTCATTCTCGTCGAACCGTTGTAAGGAACAAATCATCATCATCATAATTGGATCCTTTAGCACTGTGGGCGCTTTCAGACACATGCACACAAACCACAAAAAGCCGTCACACGTTTCTACGGCCGCTCACATCACCCTGGGAGGGAGTAAAACAGAATCCCGGCATCAATCTCGAGGCTGTTTGACAGTTTTATACCTCATTCGGCAGCCTCATTTGGAACACAGGCAGGAGAGAGGAGCGTAATTTGTGCGATATGTAATTGTGGTCGTGATCTCTTCATAAATCACCACATGCTTACATCAAACTTGCCTGACGCCTGGCTGGGAAGGCAAAGGAAAACCTAAGAAGTCCATCAGGGAATCAAGAGGACTAATGTACTCAGCCACGTACTTCAAAATAATGAACATCAATTCTTATTATTATTGTTATTATTTTTATGTGACGTTCCAGAAACATTGATCGACACATCATTGTGTCTAAGAAAACCCTAGACATTGGTCATGAAAAGTAATATTTTCTTTCAATACCAAAAATCTTTTTTTTTTTTTTTTTAAATTTTAATCACACATTCCAGCCGCCAAACAGATGCGATTATTATTTCATCACATATAATTTATATTCTATAGTGGGCGGCCTGGTAGTCGAGTGGTTAGCGTGTCGACTTCACAGTGCAAAGGTGGTGGCTACGGCCTCCCTGTGTGGAGTTTGCATGTTCTCCCCTGGCCTGCGTGGGTTTTCTCCGGGTACTCCGGTTTCCTCCCACATTCCAGATTGTCTCGGTGGTGTGATTATGATGTGTGCCCTGCGATTGGTTGGCAATCAGTTCAGGTTGTACGCCGCCTACTGCCCGAAGACATCTGGAATAGGGTCAAGCACCCTTGTGAGGATTCGAAAATAGATGGACGTTCTACAATTGACAGTGTCTTTTCTACAACTTTGGCGAGTCTCATCATAGGCTACATCATTCTGCTTCACTGCGCAATAATGATAAAGGAATTCAATTCAACGTAACACCCTCCGCAGCCACAGCAGGAGCTGCACCTTTAATTGTCAATTTATTGTACTGATGAGGTGCTCTCAAGGGAAAATTCAATTTACACTCTGCCGTACATGTTGTGTCACACGCCGCACAGGCGCAGGCCACACATGCACGTATGCAAGAAGAGTGATCGGGCATGCAAATGGTGCTGCGCATCACAGCTGAGGTTTGGTGATGATTTGGTGCCTTGCTCAAGGTCACCTTACGAGTGATCAGGATGCAGACTAGCAGCTGTAGTATAGTTGATTTTTTTTTTCTTTTTTCTTGACTATTCACTAGGAAACAAATATAAGGGCCATAACCAAAATTCTGCTTTCGATAGATAATCATTCATTCATTCATTCATTCATTCATTTCAACATTTAGAAGCTTCAGGGGGGGGGGGGGGGGGGGGGGGGGTTGCTGGAGCTTATCCCAGCTGTCCTCGGTCACCTGTTTTCTGACTTTGGTTGTGTAACATTTGCGATGGTCCTTAACCTTAGCCCTGAGCAACGCCATCCATCCATCCATCCATCCATTTTCCTATCCGTTTATCCTCGGCGGGGGACACCCTGAACCGGTTGCCAACCAATCGCAGGGCACACAGAGACGAACAACCATCCACGCTCACACAGACACCTAGGGACAATTTAGAGTGTTCAATCAGCCTGCCATGCACGTTTTTTGGAATGTGGGAGGAAACCGGAGTACCCGGAGAAAACCCACGCAGGCCCGGGGAGAACATGCAAACTCCACCGGGACGCCATAGATAATAATACCTCCCCCCCAAAAAAAAATCTCTGATAATGGCAACCAAAACTGAATGCTTTTGATTTTCGGAAAAAAATGTCTTTTTATTTATTTTTTTTGTCTTGGTGTACCTAATGTTATGGCCGGTGAGCGTGTGCAGAAGCAAGTGCTAAGTGAAATCCTCTTAAACAGCGTCTAACATCAAGGGCAGAGGTTTCACCGCATGGGCGCTGTCAAGTGGCTATTGCACGAAGTGGTAAAAGACTGCGAGCTTGACCTCAGCTCCCCCCTCGCACATTTTATATGAGACTTCGCACATTATTTATTCATATTTTAAAGACGGTCGGTTGCCGGCATCCCCAGAGCTGCCAACACATTGCCGCACGGCCCTGCGTCTCCGCTGAATTCAAAGTTGGGTAATACAGGCTGAATACATTTTCACATTTTACTCAAACGTATTAGAAGTCAGCCTCGGCGTATGCTGGTGACATTTACAGGAAGCATGTGAACAAGCGGAAGAAGACCGACTTGACACTAATCCCCACAAAAGCATGGGCCCGCCTATCTTGCTTGGGCAACGCTAATTGATAAGATTTCATACAAGCAAGACGCAAGTGTTTTTCCTGGTCACGGCCACACTGCCTATTGTGCATCTTAACAAGCGTGGAGCAGTAATGAGACGTCTGGAGTTGTTGCGGTGTCTTTGTGGCGGCGGTTACGCGCATCCACTCACTTTACTCCATTGGGTGGTTACATTGTTATAGAACAATCTAACGGCATTTTGGGCACTGTTAATGTTAAGTCGTCGAATGGAACGAAATGTTGAAGGGTTCGAAAGGTTGCAGGTAGAAATACTTGGTTACGAGCGCCTACTAGTTTGTACTTGTGCTGGAACTGGCTTCGCTCAATAACAAAATGTTTCCACAACTATGATAAAAATTGTGAACTGAGTGTAAAAAAAAAAAGTGTGTATACATCTACTAAAGTAGACTTTTTCCACTTCTGGACATTTCTCAGTTGCCTTTACACGTGTAAGAATGTGTATGCTTGAAGCTGTTTCGATTCAAAGTAATAGGTTGGTGTTAATGTTGCACATTTGTTGTTCAACGGCGCACGAACAATCCCAAGTGTCATTGTAAATAAGGCTCACTTTGCAGCATCGTGCGCGGGCGCCCGCAGGCTCCCAATCAGCTGGAGGGCCAGGGAGATGATTGCAGAGGTGGTAAAAGAGATACTTGTCGAAGAAAAAAAAAAAAAAAGACACTGTGCTTAAAGCAGAACTATTGATTCAGCTCCTTTCAATTAAGTACAAGTACAAAAGTAGAGATTCCGAAATGTACAAAAGTAAATATAAGTCTACGTTTCTACCATTCACGATGAACACAAGCCTCATTTTGCTGTATTTTTTCCCCCCCCATGGATCAATATTTCTATTTTGACATAGAATGTAGCATTTGTTTTTTTTCCCCTTTGAAACATTTCAGGATTCCAGAAAATACCACTGGCCCCTGCGAAAACGAACTAATATTACTGTTGCTTACTAAACAGTCGTGACCATCTTCTTCCTGTATTTTTGTCGGAAGATAGTGTCCTTGCAAGACACACACCAGAAGGAGCTGAACAATTATTGCATAAGATCATGATGTGACAAACTTTTTTTTTTTTTAAAGTTACGTTACTGTAAAGTGTTTTTTAAAATCCAAAATACATTACGAACATTTTTGTTGATGTTTTATCACAGACCGGATGGATTACTGACATTTCCACTCATTTCAATGGGGAACGATGATTTGACATACAAGTCCTTGAGAGTGGTCAAGACACCACTGCACATTTTCAAATGTGAGGAGAAAAAGTCGTCAGGAAAAAAATACTCAAGTAAAAGACAGTTACCTGAAAATCGAATTACTCTAAGTATCGTACAGCTTTTGTACTTTGTTACTTCCCACCACCCTTCACTTTGGAGCTTTGCGCGCGGGCGTTCCAAAGGCAGGGGGGGCCAAGCGGATGATTGACAGCACTTGGCTGGCTAGCGACCCTCCTTCCCGTCGTCCCAACCTCCTCCTCCTCCTCCTCACTCTCCCTCTCTCTCTTTTCCTCTCCGCTCTGCTCTCTAAGTATCGTACAGCTTTTGTACTTTGTTACTTCCCACCACCCTTCACTTTGGAGCTTTGCGCGCGGGCGTTCCAAAGGCAGGGGGGGCCAAGCGGATGATTGACAGCACTTGGCTGGCTAGCGACCCTCCTTCCCGTCGTCCCAACCTCCTCCTCCTCCTCCTCACTCTCCCTCTCTTTTCCTCTCCGCTCTGCTCTCTCTCTCTTCATCTCCCCGGCTGCGCGCACACTCTCCACGCCGCCAACAGGGATGCATCGAGGGCGAAGCGCAGCCTGAAAAATGGCCCCGACTCCGCGCGTCTTGTGGATCTATCCTTCCCTTTTCCTGCTCACCTCCTCGGTGGTTTTTCACGTGTTGTTGCCGTGTGGAGCCTTAAGGAATTATCCAGATAATGAAGGTAGGTGGGTAGGTGGGTGGGTGTGCGCGGGCTACTTGACCGGGAGGGGGCGTGTGGGGGACCGGGGTTGTCGTGGCCCTCCAGCCCCCATCTGGAGCGCCCACTTTGTCGGGTGAGGAACGGTGGCGCTTCGCGATTAAGTGCTCCGCTCGGTTATGAATCATGCATAAAGAGCCACAAAAAGAGCTTGGAGATGGGGGCGGGGGGGTGCGTCACGTTTCCCCCGCTTTCCTCGGGATTTTGACATTAAATTTGCATGACATGTGACGATAGAAGGCTGATGTGTACGAAAGTGGGGGAACTTGTAGCACTTAAGCCCCCCCACCCCCCCACCCCCACAAACAACCCTGCCATGCAAACGCGTTCATTAAAACACGCTGAGGGATGATGATGTCTTTTCTTCGGCGGACTCGAGCCATCTAACTCAGTCTGCAAATGAGAGGCAGCAATTGCATTACATTTGTCACAGCCTCTCTCTGTTATTCAATTAACATCGATGTTCGGCCAATACATTTAGTCGCTAACTACTCCTGACCGCTTCTCGGGCTGAAACATGCAAGATGGCTTGTTTACTGGCAAGTTGCAGGAGGGAAAAAAAAAAAAAAAAAAAGAAGTCATCATTCTGTATGAAGGCAGGCGGGGAGATTCATGATGAGCACTTTATTAAGCAACTTATTGACCGGGAGAAGAAATGATGCTGTCAGGCAGTGTCAGTGCTGCATGTGTGATTTGGCGAACCTCGGAAGTTTACAAATTAAGAGGAGAGGAGAAATTAGAGGGAAGAAAGAAGAGCATTTCATAACGATTCAGCAGGGGCAGTACAGGATGTGAGTTGATGCTCTTGTGCTTTTGATCTTACTGTTGAAAAAAAGTCCAGTATTTTGGATTTGGGATTTTACTGGAGAAAATGACTACACTGTTAGATTTTAATAAAACGCTGTTTTAATATGAGCTGAATTGCAGATATGTGTTCTTTGGACTACAAATTAAGACAAATGAACGAGACTAAAGGAACGGTGCCTCTGCTGGTCGTTCACTCCATTTTGTGTTAAGGCACATGTTTACTAAATTGTACACAGTTAACAAAATTATTCATAAGGAAATATTTTTTTTACAATAATTCCATACATTATATAGTTCATTTGAAATAATTGTAATGATTAAAAGGGTACTCAATTTAAACTAATGCAATGTATGTCACATTTTACTCTTCCAAGGAGTGGCCTATGAACGGTTTGAAAATATGCTTGATGCTCAGGTCTCACACCATGAATCGCTTCAAGTTTACACAACAAGCGGGCCACACCTCAGACCTCCAATTTGAGTGCGTTAAGTGCCGTGTATAGGTACAATGCCGAATGTATGTCACAGCCCGGAGGAGCTCTTCCCAGGCTCGGGAGGATAGTCGGCGAGTGAGGATGAGGAGAGGCAGTCAGGAAGGAATGTTTAAACAAGTGGAGACAATGCCGAATGCATGTGATGAAATATTCATCGAGGTGAATGCAGACTGAAGGATGATGAATTGAAACTCCTGTTGATCTAGATAAACGAGCCGCAGTGTTTGCGGCGTATATGACAGACCGACTCCCACTTTAATTGATGTGAACCCCGACGGACATTTCCAAGATTTCATTCTCTCATCGTGTGGCTTATCCACGTGTGATCTTGGGTGTCCTGCTGTTTCACACATACTGACTCCAATTTGCACCTCAAGCACCACTTCTGTATGGTAAACACCTTCCCTTCCCGGCCACATCATTCGGTTTAATGAATAAAGTGTCAATCAAAACTGAACATGGATGTCATTGTGATGTAGATTTGTTTTGATATCTCCTCGCTTCTGGATTATGAGATTGACTATCTTACGTGTGGTGGCGCGCATATAAGTTGACGGATGGATGTGCTATTGCTACTTTGCTTTTACTTTGGATCGTTCTGCTTTTCCATCGAGATCGTTTGACTTCATAGTGTCTATGCGTATGCGAGTACGTGCACAATATGACACATCATCTACCCACAGGGCCGACGCTGTCATAAAAAATCTTACAGTTCCCCATTCAGGACCAATTAAAGAGCAACAAGGCCCTCGGACGGAGCTGATATTGTAAGCCAGAATCATGTTTCAGCGTCAACAAGCTTTGTTTACAACGTGATCTTACACGGAAATTGTCGGCATTTACAAGAAAAAACGTTGTGAGGGTGGACAAGCGGAACAAAGTGCTACAGGGGGAATTGATTACATTGCTTGGAATTGGTGGTAACTGCAGACAGGGGAACATGATCTATAGTGGAAATGATTTTTTTTTTTTTTTTCACAAGTGGCTTTTTAAAGTCTTTGTCAGAAGCACTAAAGAGAGGAAGGGGATTAGGAGTTGCCAGGAGATGATTGTGGACCAGCAGAGGGAGCCCCACACACTCATTCAGTATTGTGCGAACCCTGAGGGCAAACTGATGTAACATTAGGATGGGTGCCCCCCAGCTCTGCTCTCTGTTTGTGGGCTCCATCTTTTATCATTTTTGCTGTTTAGGGCTTTCTGCGTGCCGTCTTTGTCTCCTACTTTTGTGTTTCCAAATACGCAGCCCACTCAATCCTAGGAAAGATACGACTGGGTCTTCCTTTTATGTGCTGCTCATTAGAATATAGCATATAAATAATCCGTGTGGTGAAAGGAATTGCCGGTGCTTTAAATTGGAGGTTTGGTAACCGCTAGGGTAGGGTGCTATGGCCGAAACGTCTATTTATAATGGAAGTATTTCTGAATGCATTCTGTAGTACATTCGCAATGCTTCATTGACAAACCCGCGAAACAAAAACAAAAAGGAAAGCTTTGTATTCCAACTAAATTTAATGACTGAATACAATAATAGACACAGATGTGGATATTTTTTTTGACTCTCTAAACCAATTAGAAAATGTCCCTGGCCAGAAATGAACACACCAAACGTACCATTTTAGGACAGTATTTTTCAGGGGCAGTGTTGCTTTTGAATGCTTTCTGCATGGCAGTTGAACATCGCATCTGTAGCACGTATTCGAAGCCTTCATCTTTTACTAGCGGCGTATAGTTCGGAGCAATCCACTCTGGGAGTCAATTTGTGAGTTTGCCTGATGTTGACGTCCTAGTTTTGGTCCTAAGCGAGTCATTTGATTGTGTTTTGGCTTGCTTCAAACGAGATCAAATTTACTTGCTAATTTGCTGTTCATAGTTGATGGAAGCCTTCTGCTTTGACACTGTTTCAGCCTTATTTTGGTATTTCGCTGTTCCACATTTCACGCTAGCTTAGTGGTTAGCACGGCTTGTCAGTCTTCCCCTGTTTTCTTTTTGCTTATCATGTCACATGATGAGCTATTATTATTCCTTGATCTCCTTTAGTGATAACGATACTTGTCAGGAGCAGGCCCGTAGAGCTTAATTGCTGCCTTAGAGGCAAGGATCAGTGATTTAGACAGAAGCTCCGGACAATGTTTCGCTATGCTAGCTAGCCAGCCGCAACCAGGGGCAGTTCCCTGGTAGTTCCCAAGCAGCCGTGAAATCAAGGAGGGTGACTGGTTCAATGTAGACGCACGTACGGCAGGCAGTTCTTCCAGCTTCGTGGTCAGAAGAGCTCGAAGCCATTTTCGCACTGATTCAGGTACGGCGACAAGCAGGTATTATTGTGACTGATCAGTAAAGTCCAAATCTACAAAGTGTACTGTAGGCCAGATTTGTACCGCATATACAGTGCACCCCGACCGAGTAAGCACAATCGACATGATGTTTTTTTCATTCCATTGGTCTTGGGTGGAGGTGCTCAAGGGAGGTGGTGGTGGGTCATGGCTGTATTGCTTTGTAAGGTTAATATGAGCAGTTTATTGCAGAGACAAGCATATGTAAAACATGCCCTCTGCTGACACACGAGCAAGCACGCACACACACACATACACACTATCCTAATGATTCACACAAGATCCTGACTGTGGTATAATGTAGGGTCAAAGGTCTCCTCCGCTTTAATTGCTTTAATCTATAAGGGTTGCTTGCAGTTATCGGCAGAGGCATACCTCACTGTGAATGTTCCTTTGTGCGCCGGCGATAGCGGCGCTCCCGTGTTAACAACCGTGACCTTGAACAGAAGAGGCTATAGATCGCTGTTGTCATCAGAGAGCAGTAAAGTAAAAAGGAAGTAAAAAAAAAAAAAAACACAAGCAACCACCTGATTCTTTTTTTCCCTTTTCTCTAATCTCCTTCTGTCATATGTGCCCTACTTTGCTTTATCTCTTTCTTGGATTGTTTTCCCTTCCGTTCTTAGTTCAGCTCTTTCTCATTCAAGCCCCCCTTCCCCGCCTCCCTCCCTCGGTAACACGAATATCACAGGATCTCCCTGCACTTGGAACAAGGTGGGGCCGCGTACGTGTAATACATCGGCACACTGAGATTGGTGCTCGTGCATTGTGCATGCACGCCCACAGACACTCATTTCATCCTAATGTATGGCTAGGGGGCAGTTTGGTGGTCTTGGTCCAGAGAATAACGTCAAGTATTCCTGCGGCTAGCTGATAGATGAGGCTATAAATACAGCATAGTGACAGGGAATGATTCTGGTGCGAAGGCTAGGAGCACATACTGTGTTTCTGCGCTTGGGTGTGTGTGTGTGTGTGTGTGTGTGTGTGTGTGTGTGTGTGTGTGTGTGTGTGTGTGTGTGTGTGCGTGTCTGCGGGTGAGCTATTATCAATGAAAAGCAAAAGAAAAAAGCAAATCCACAGGAGCGAGCTGAAACAAGAGACAAAGAGGCAGGCGTTGTGGCAACACACAGTGATCGTAAGCCCAGGGAGGCTTTGTCGTGTTTCAATAAATAAACCACGCAACTAAGCCTCTATTATTTGAAGCATTTCTTATTTTCTGCAGGGAGCGGAATACTCATCGCATTGATCTTTGCTCTTTTTTGTCTTTGAACTCACTGAAATGACCAATGCTCTCAGTGCGTTTGTACCGTAGCCTAAATAGGAATGTAACGCAAGC